AAATGATGATATTAACGTCTATTTATTTCAAACTTGTCAAATAAGTTTCTCAATTTTACTTTATTTTTATATTATGACTAAGGAATTTGAATTCCTCAAGCCAAACATGGCCATATAATCATAATTATGAATCAACTATTTATCTACACTTCATTATATACGTATATATATGTTATTTGAAGTTTGAAACTAACCACATGACCATATAATCCTAATTATGAATCGACAATTAGAACTTGGTTGTTGAGAATGATTCTCTCTCCAGGCTCCTACCGCTATCATAAGATGTTGAGAGGAGAGTCTTTACATGGACTTGGTGCCTGGTAGTTGACCACATTAAGCATCATTTTATCCAATGATAAGAACTTAAGACGGGGTTAATTACGAGGAAAAATCTAGCAACAATGACTTGATGTCGCAATTAGCATTTTAGCCAGTTGAGGAATAGCTTTAACTGACTTAAAATTAGAAGTATACACAAGTTCTGTGCTAAGCGAAGTTTACATTTAAGGAAAAATGAAATCTACAGACTATCATACTAGTGCTTCCTGCTTTGTATTTTGTTTCTTATTAATTCATTTAACTTGTCTTGCAGCTCAATTATATAATATTAGAGCAATGGTAGTTGGTGGGCGAAGGAATACTGTCTGCTTTCTTGCTACCTTTCTATCTCTGTTTATAATGTCATTGCTTCTGACAAATGTTGAAGCTTTTGGTTATCCATCAACCGTGATGCCATCCGTCTCTTGGACTAACGTCGTCCCAACTGACTTCAGTTTTTGGGAATCAGCAGGGGTGAGACCTATCTTGGTTAATGGGAGTTTTGTTTGTGGCTTCCACTGCAAATTTGAAGGAACTGCCTGCCTCTTTGCTATTTCTATCTTCCCATCTAGTCTTGATAGCAACTCCAGCTTTTCTACACAAATGGTATGGTCTGCTAATCGAAACAAGCCGATTGGACTTGGGGCAAAATTGCAATTTTCTCAAGAAGGGGATTTAACACTGGAAGATGATCATGACACTCTGGTTTGGTCTACAAACACAATAGGTAAATTTGTTTTAGGAATGAAGTTAACTCATCAGGGTAACCTTATACTGTTTGATGGAAACAATAAGACAGTTTGGCAGTCTTTTGATCATCCAACAGATTGTTTAGTTCTCGGACAGAGGCTTGTTTCTGGGCAGAAACTGAAAGCTAATATGTCATCCACAGATTGGACAGAGGGTTTATATTCATTTTCAATTAATAGTTCTAATGGTTATTTTGTTGCTTCTATAGGGTCAAATGCCACCCTAGACTATTACCAATCCTATGGGTCTCAAAGAAACAAAAGGTCGCAGTTTTATGCTATATTCAGTGACAATAAATTTGGTCCTTTCAATTTTCTACGGGCTGGAGTTAGTTTTATACAATTAGGATCTGATGGGCACTTAAGGTATTTTAGTTGGGTAGAATCAGAATGGAAGGAAGTCGATGATTTGTTTAAGGATGAACTCAATCAATGTGATTATCCGCTGGTGTGCGGAGAATATGGAATTTGTTCAATGGGAGGAGGATGCAATTGCCCAGAACCAGATGAAAACAATATAGCGCACTTCAAGATGATTAATTTTGATAATCCAGATCTTGGTTGTTCTCCTAATGTACCAATATCTTGTGAGTCTTCTTCCCATGAAAGCCTTCTGGAGATCAAGCATGTTTCTCTCTCTACTAGCTACCTTCCAGATAATTCTAATATAACAGACATCGAGAGCTGCAAGCAAGCCTGTTTAAACAACTGTTCTTGCAAGTATGTTGTTTTTCGAAGTTATAATCCTATGTTTGGACAATCCTTGTGCTTCTTTGGATCTGAAGCTTTGTCATTCAAAAGAGAAGGGGATACATATTACAATTCCTTTGTGTTTTTAAAGGTACAGAGCTCAATCGTACCAAATCCACAAAGGAATCTTTCATCACCAGCTCATTTTCCACAAACAAAGAAAAGACAGAATGTGGGAGTTATACTTGCAATAATTCTTGGAGCCACTTTTATTGGGTTTCTTATCTTCACTGTCTTTTTACTAAAAATTAAAAAGGATCCAAAGGACGTTGAGGAGGATTATCTGGGTCACATCTCAGGAACACCCACGAGATTCTCTTATGAAGAGTTAAAGGTTGCAACCAACAACTTTAGCAACAAGCTAGGTGAGGGAGGATTCGGTTGTGTTTTTCAAGGAACATTACCCTGTGGTGCTCAAATTGCAGTGAAATGCCTTGATGGTTTTGGTCCTGTAAAGAAGTCATTTATAGCTGAGGTTGAGACCATAGGAAGCATTCACCATTTCAACTTGGTGCGACTGGTTGGGTTCTGTGCTGAGAAATCACATATGCTTTTGGTTTATGAGTACATGTGTAACGGGTCCTTGGATCAATGGATCTTCTGCAGAGACAAAGCACTTGCTCTTGGTTGGCAATGCAGAAGGAAGATCATTCTAGAGATAGCCAATGGTCTAGCATATCTTCATGGGGGATGCAGGCAGAAAATAATTCACTTGGATATCAAACCCCAAAACATCCTTTTGGATGAAAATTTCAATGCCAAGGTTTCTGATTTCGGGTTGTCTAAGCTAGTAGGGAGAGAGCAAAGCCAAGTTGTGACGACAATGAGGGGAACACCGGGTTATATGGCCCCAGAATGGTTGAACTCAGTAATCACAGAAAAAGTAGATGTATATAGCTTTGGCATTGTTGTTCTAGAAATTTTATGTGGTAGAAAAAATGTTGACAGATCTCTGCCGGAAGAGGATGCTCATTTGGTAAGCCTTTTTAAGAGAAAGGTTGAGGACGGTCAATTTCTGGATCTAGTGGATAAGTACAATGAGGAGATGCAATCAAATGCAGTAGAGGTAGTAGAGATGATGAAAGTTGCGGCTTGGTGTTTGCAAGGTGAATATGCTAAGAGGCCTTCAATGTCCATTATGGTGAAGTTCCTAGAGGGCAAAATGGATGATGAAAACGAATATGATTTCTCAAATCCACCACCACCACCGGCAGAAGTTGAAACTCACGGACACCAAATGGATGCAGCTGCAATTACTGCCTCTCCATTAATTCCATCTATTTTATCTGGTCCAAGGTGATGATATGGGGGAAGAGGAGCTAACACGTGCTGCAATGGTAATACTTCATTTCTTTTTACTTTCTAGCTTCTGTTTTCTGTTCCAGAGCAGACAGTAGAATGCAAATTACTACTAGAATTCTTAACTTGTGTTATAATATCTTTGAATTCATTGACTTATTTCTTATATCTAACTACCTACTTTGCCTATCTTCCTTTATACATAATGTATTTTGATGGGAATATTTTATTTTTCAGAGTTTCTTGCAATGCCAAAATGAATTAGTTTTGACTGAAAATTTGTCTTTCACTTGTTTAATAAAAACATTCTCATCACATTTTTTTATCTTACTCTTTTTCAGTGTTTGCTCGATCAACTTCATTTCTTCCTTCCAAATGCTAAGCAATTGAGAAAGACTTGACCACTCAATTAGCAGATCCAGGGTTAGAGATTGACGCTGAGAGAGAAACCGATGGATAAGCTAATTTCTTTCCTTGTGTGTGTGGTTTTTTTGTTTTTTTTGGGTCCATTACAAATTTGTCATTTTACATTGAACGGAAAACAGTTGCAGCACTTCTGTTTTAATTTCTGTGTGTAATGTAATACTATTAACTACTTCAGCTTCATACTGGTGTTACACCTCTATTAATATCTAATCCTATCAATTTATAATGCTTGTTGTCTGATTGGTTTTTGGAAAGAATTTAGTTTTTAGTTGAGATTGGATTATATTATGCAAGGCCATTATGGAGCTTAGAAAATGGAAATTACTGGAATTCTTAGCTCTATCTGGATTGCTAACTTTGAATTCATTTTCTGATTTATTAGCTCTGTTTAAATAATCTATTTTTTGTACCAAAAAAGAAAAAAAAAGCCTATCTTCGTTTCCTTAATATAGGAATCAATACGGGTCCTTCATGTTTTGTTTTTTTAGAGTGGTATGTGTTGCAGTTTGATTACTAAATTTTAGACCAACAATTCTCATTTTTGGTATTTACAATTAGGGTGCCATAATCTAAATTTCACACACTTTAAAATTGCTTTTAGGGTGTCATGACCCAAATTTCACACCCTTTAAAATTAATTTTTACTTAGCAATCTTAGAAAAGTAATTCATATTAATCTAATAGATTTAAAGAAATTAATTTTCTTAAAAACTAATATCAAAACTTAAATTATAAATCGAATTTATAAAATAACATTTATTTATAAATCAATCTAACCTTGGGATAATATTACTAATTCCCTTCCTGTTTCAGTTTTTTAACTCTTCATGCCTGCGCCAATTGCTTCAAGTAATTGTTTTTCCATTTTTCTTATTTTATTCAAATTTAATGACTATAAAATATAAGAAGTGTTGATCAGTTAAATATGCCAAAAAAAAAAGCTTGAAAATACTCAAAATTATCATTTTAATAAAATATTTTGAGAAAATACTAATAAAATAATTTTATTCATACTTTAAAAAAATAATAAGTTTTAGTTTTTTGGATGAAATTTTATTAAAATAATATAATTTTAGAGTTTTTTTTATCAATTTCTTACCAATACGCTAATAATATTTTCTTTGTTTATTTTTAATAAATTTAATTTGATTCGTTGATTTTTTAAATATAAATTTTAAATAAAAATTTAATATACTATATAAATGATAATTAAAATTTTCTTTGATTAAATAAAAATATTTGACAAGAATTTTATATATAAAAAAATTTTACTTATTATCTATATAAATTGTTAAATTTTTATATGAAATTTATATATAAAAAATTAAAAAATTAAGTTACATCTACTAAAAATAAATAAGACTAACAAAAAATAATGCACCCCTTTAAGTTTGATTTCCAAAATTTGCGAAGAAGAAAAATTCAATTAGACTTAAATACCACCCTGGGCCTGAATTCATTAAACCCATCTGTCACCCGTAGCTCCGAGCTCAAATAAATAGTATTGGGCTTTTTCCCACCGGGCGCAACCATTTTGCTAAAGCCCAAACCACATTTGGATTTCAACAAATCCAATTTCACGAATTCCAACAAAAAAATAAAAATAAAAAATCCGATCACACAAAAATCACCACTTTGGGCAGGCCATTTAACTCTTTCTAATTCCCAATTATTTAAAAAAAAATCATGGCCGCTCATTTCTTATCATGAACGTGTGGCATTCATAAAAAATTTCAATTGTTGTGGATATGTAAATAGTTTACAAGCGTTAAGATGTTAATTAGTAATCATTCGAGTCCAAACTTTTAAAGACAAGGTGTACATAAATCCTAATAGCTATTAATGAAGTAGTTGGAACATAGGTCAGAGTGTGAGTTGTAAATTGTAATGGATGGTGGTATGAGAGATTTAGGCTTTGCAAATAAATGGCTGCCGAGTTGGGCTATGAGATGAGAACTTGACTGTTGAGAGTGATCATTCTCTTCGGGATTTTGCTGCTATTATAAGATGTTGGGAGGAGAATCTTTAGATCGACTTGGTGCCTGCCGCCTGGTAGTTGACGACATTAAGTTTCATTTTTTTCAACAGAAAGAAAGGGTTAGTTATGAAGAAAGCGAAGGATTTCCTTTTCTTGGAAAAAGCACCACTCCGAATTGAGAAATTGAGAGGAAATTAGTACCCAATGAAAAGGCAAATCGAAAGGAAAACATTAGTAGAATGACTTGACAGCCCAATTAGTAAGTTAAGCAATAGTTTACGTTGACTTATAATTAGATGTTTACTCAGAGTTGTATGATTTTTATTTTCTTTTGAACAAGGCAATATGGGGGAATAGGGAATGGAATTAGGCTTGGAACATGTGTTTACAAGAGGTAACTTTCACTTTAACCAAAGTTGTGACCACTAAATTGGGACACAGGAATCCTCAAAGTTGTATAATGAGCGTCAAAGGAAAAGAAAAAGGAAAAGTTTTTATTTAAATATTTTCTATCATAAATGTTGAATTGATTAGCATCAAAGACAATTTCATTGGATGTAGTATGTGAGGAGGATTTATTTTGAAAGTGTATGTAAATTAAAATGAGATTGTTCAAAAAAACTATATATAAATTCTATAGCAAATAAAAATGGCATTTTTTATGAGATGGGGACAAGTAATTATTTAGCTATGCTTTTTAAATTTTATCAAATACTTTCATATTATATCATGTAAAACTCTCAAATCAAAAATTTTTAAATTTACTTATCATTATTACTATTAGCTTATCTCTAATTTTTGTTCAAGCTCTAATCAATTTTAACAGTTATCAATTGTTAAAAAGCATTCAGAATAAAGATATATCTTCCTTTCTCTATTGAAAATCAGTATGGATGCTTTATGTATAATATTTTTTATGATCATATTTTATTTTCAGAGTTTCTTGTAATGCTAAAATAAATTAGTTTTAATTGAAAATTTATCTTCCACTTGATTAATAATAACGTTCTCACCACAATTTTTTTTTATCACTTAACGCTTTTTTTTTAGCGTTAACTCGATCGGCTTCATCTCTTCCTTCCAAATGCCAATTGTGAAAGACTTAACCACCCAATAGCAGTAAGTCCAAGAGCCCACTAATGCTGAAAAAGAAATTGATAGATAATAAGTCCTTTCGTTGTGTGTGTGTTGTTGTTGTTGGTTTTTTTTTTCTTTTTTTTGAACAAAATTTTCATTTTATTTTTTGGATGTAAAGTAGTTGCAGCGCTTTTGTTTTAATTTTTGTTATGTGATGAATTCTAATATTTAATTCTAAATGTCAATATCAACTCTCATGTGACCTTTTTAATTTTAATTAAATTATTTTAGATGAATTTACAATTTAATATATATTTATAAAAAAAGTTTAACTCTTAGAATGTTTTTATAAGGAAACAAATTAGGTATGACAAAAACCAATCAATTTGGAAGTGCCATCGAGTGACCTCAACAAAAATTTTACATTGCAATGATGTTATATATACTTTTAACGCTATACAATAAGATAATAAAAGATTAAAATTTTATTTTAGTCTTTTTATTTTAATAAAAAATCTTTTTTTAGCTTTTATTACTTAAAATAATCTCTTTTTAGTCTCTAAAATTTAAAATCTAATTTTCTTTTAATCTTTCCATTATATTTTGCATGATGGAAATTTTAAAGTCGAAGAAAAGTCTCTTTTTTATCTTTCTATTTTAAAAGAACTCTTTTTTAATCTTTTTACTTAAAAAATTTTTTTTTTAGTCTCTCTATTTTAAGACTTTTATTAAAATAACATGCTATGCAAGAAAAAAAATAATGAAAAGAATAGAAAGGGACCAAATTTTAAAATTTAAGAATTAATAAGATTTTTTTAAACAGAATAACTAAAATTTTTTTATATTAAAATAAAGAGACTAAAAAAAGATTTTAACCATAATAGAATCATGAAATGTAATCAAAATGAAAATTGTGTAGATTTTTTTTTCTATTACCTGGTCTTGCATGATTTGGTATACAAATTCACTTTTAATAATGTGTCAGAATTATTATTATTATTATTATTGTTGTTATTATTAACTTAAAGTATTATCTTCTAAATGACGTTGTGTTACCTCCTTGATGGCAAAAGCGTTGAACCGGATTACAAGAAGTTTGAGGATTCGCGAAAAAAATAAAGCACTCAAAAAAAAAATTTTTTTTCAACATTTAATCAACTAGATTCAAAATTTAATTACTATTTTCTGTGTCTCATCTCAGCATAATAGATATTTTTTACTAATGTTATTTTCAAATTGATAATTTATATTTTTATCTATATTATAATTAAAAAATAAAAATAGAGATATTTTTATGATATGGATAATAAAATAAAAATATTATTATTATTATTAAAATAAAAAAATATTTGTTTATCTTAAAATATATTAAAAACAACTATTATTCATGAATATATTTTAAATAAAAAAATATTCATTATTTTAAGACTGAAGAAGTACATAATATAATAAAAATGATTGATTTTGTACGTGTAATCAAATAAGTAGGAAGTTGAATGATTGGAATAAACTGGAATTTAGAATTCTGAAATTTTTGTAGGTAAATGCTACAGTAAGAAATTTTAGATGACCTGATGATAAACTTGACAGTTTTGGGCTTGTTCCCACCCATATTTTCCACGGTCTTGTTATAATAAAGGATCTGGTTTCGGCTGCACGTATTATTAGTTTCGGTTTTATGAATGGAACTTTTGGGCCTGTTGTGCTGAGCATGAATTTGGACTCAGCCTTACTATCCTCCTTTTTGCGTTCCTAAATTTATTATTTTTAAGCGCAAGATGTTGGGTCTGGACTCTGGAGGAACTGTCTTGGAAGGTGCAGATGCTGTTGGAGGAAAAAATTAGGAAATGCTCCGATTTCCTTATAACCACGAAAACCGTTGACTTGACTGCTTAAATTGACTTGGGATTATAAGTTTGCAGAGCTGAATTCAATGGATATTCTGCAAAAACAGAACGCTTGCTTTTGTTGGCAGTGCGCCAAGGGTCTAGCATATGTCTCCACCGACAAGGATGCAGGAGATGTGAAGAAAATTTGCCCTTGGTCTCTCTGTTGCAACTTGCAAGGGTGAGTTTTCCCCTTTTTTCTAAAAAAAAATAATTTAATCATAAAATTTCCTCCAATATAATAACAAAGAAAAGGGAAATTGCTGTCCTCTTGCTTTTTAGTATTAGTTTGTTTGATTTTGAGTCGATAATTTTGTTTAAGGGAAGAAATGGTAGTAGCTAGTTTCTGTTCTTATTTCTTAATTTAATAAAATATATGATTAAATCTCAAAGTTAATTTATTTATTCTAAACTTGTCAAAAGTAAATTTTTTAATTTAATTTAATCTTTTTATTATGACTAAGGAATTTGAAGTTTACACAAAGTTGTGCCTTAAGCGAAGTTTACATTTAAGGAAAAAAGGAATCTAACGGACTATCATACTACTGCTTTCTGCTTTGTATTTTGTTTCATATTAATTCATTTAACTTGTCTTGCAGCTCAATTATATAATATTAGAGCAAGCAATTATAAGAGCAATGGTAGTTGGTGGGCGAAGGAATACTGTCTGCTTTCTTGCTAACTTTCTATCTCTGTTCATAAGAACATTGCTTCTGACAAATGGTGAAGCTTTTGATTATCCATCAACTGTGAAGCCTCCCTTCTCTTGGACTAACCACCCCTCAACTGACTTTAATTTTTGGGAATCAGCGGGGGAGAGACCTATCTTGGTTAATGGGAGTTTTGTGTGTGGCTTCCACTGCAAATTTGAAGGAACCGCCTGCCTCTTTGCTATTTCCATCCTTCCATCCAGTTTTGATGAAAACTCCAACTTTTCTACACAAATGGTATGGTCTGCTAATCGAAACAAGCCGATTGGACTTGGGGCAAAGTTGCAATTTTCTCAAGAAGGGGATTTAACATTGCAAAATGATCATGACACTCTGGTTTGGTCTACAAACACAACAGGTAAATTTGTTTCAGGCATGAAGTTAACTCATCAGGGTAACCTTATACTATTCGATAGAAACAATGAGATGGTTTGGCAATCTTTTGATCATCTGACGGACTCTTTGGTTATTGGGCAGAGGCTAGTTTCTGGGCAGAAATTGGTGGCAAGTATTTCCACCACAAATTGGAGTGAGGGTTTATATTCATTTTCGGTTGATAATCGTGGTTATTTTGTAGCTTTTGCGGCGTTAGATGCTACCGTAGTTTATTGTCGATCCTTTTGGTCTCAAACAAGAAGCCAAACGGGGCAGTTTTATGCTGAGCTCACGAACATGAGTTTTGGTCTCTCTTCTCCTCTATCTTTTCCAGGATTTGGATTTAGTTATATACAATTGGGCTCTGATGGGCACTTGAGGTCGTTCGGGTGGGTAGAATCAAACTGGAAGGAAGTAGATGATTTCCTTGGGGACCAACTCATTCGATGTGATTACCCATTGGCCTGCGGAATATATGGAATTTGTCTAGAAGAAGGATGCAGTTGCCCAGAACCCTTGTATTTCGGGGCAGATAAATCCTTCACAGCCAAGTCTTGGGTGTTATCCTGATAATCCAATATCTTGTGAGTCTCCTCAATGGCAGAGGCTTCTTGAGCTAAAGGATACAGCTGACCCTGGTCTGTCAAGTTTGAACTCTCTTGCTTATACCAGAACAGACATAGAGAGCTGCAAGAGAGCCTGTTTAAAGAACTGTTCTTGCATGTATGCTAGTTTTCAACCTTCTGATAAAAATTACTCAGATCTTGGCTACTGCTTTCTTAGATCTGATGCTTTGTCATTCAAGAGAGTGCCTGCACATTTAAATCAATCTCTATTTTTAAAGGTGCAAAGTTCTCCAATTGCACAGATTCCACAAAGGAATCGTTCATCACCAGCAGAGATTCCACAAAGAAAGAAAAGACAGAATGTAGGAGTTGTAGTTGGATCCACTCTTGGAGTCACTTTTAGTGTGCTTCTTATCTGCACCTTTTTTTTACTTCAAATAAATAAGGATGCAAAGGATGTTGAGGAGGATTATTTGGGCCACATATCAGGAGCGCCCATGAGATTCTCTTATGAAGAGTTAAAGGTTGTAACCAACAACTTCAGCAATAAGCTGGGCGAGGGAGGATTTGGTTGTGTTTTTCAAGGAACATTACCTGGAAGTGCTCAAGTTGCAGTAAAGTGCCTTGATGGTTTTGGTCCTGTGAAGAAGTCATTTATGGCTGAGGTTGAGACCATAGGAAGCATTCACCATTTCAATTTAGTACGATTGGTTGGGTTTTGTGCTGAGAAACTACGCATGCTTTTGGTTTATGAGTACATGTGTAACGGGTCATTGGATCAATGGATCTTCTGCAGAGACAAAGCGCTTGTTCTTGGTTGGCAACGTAAAAGGAAGATCATTCTAGACATAGCCAAGGGACTAGCATATCTCCATGAAGGATGCAGGCAGAAAATAATTCACTTGGATATCAAACCCCAAAACATCCTCTTGGATGAAAATTTCAATGCCAAGGTTTCTGATTTTGGGTTGTCTAAGCTAGTAGGGAGAGAGCAAAGCCAAATTGTGACAACGATGAGGGGAACACCAGGTTATATGGCCCCAGAATGGGTGAACTCTGTAATCACAGAAAAAGCAGATGTATACAGCTTTGGCATTGTTGTTTTGGAAATTTTATGTGGCAGAAAAAACGTTGATCGATCTCTACCAGAAAAGGATGCCCTTTTGGTGAGCCTTTTTAAGAGAAAGGTTGAGGATGATCAACTTTTGGATCTAGCGGATGAGTGCAATGAGGAGATGCAATCAAATACAGCAGAGATTGTGGAGATGATGAAAGTTGCAGCATGGTGTTTGCAAAGTGAATATGCTAGGAGGCCTTCAATGTCCATCGTGGTGAAGTTCCTAGAGGGCAAAATGGATGATGAAAACGAATATGATTTCTCAAATCCACCAGCACCGTCTGAAGCGGAAACTCTCGGACACCAAATGGATGCAGCTGCAGTTACTGCTTCTCCATTGATTCCATCTATTTTATCTGGTCCAAGGTGATGATATGGGGGAAGAGAAGATATAAAGCACGTGCTGCAATGGTAATACTTCATTTCTTTAAGCTTTCTAGCTCTGTTTTTAGTCGTTTTATATTGCCCTGTGTTCCAAAGCAGAAAGTAGAGTGCGAATTCCTACTGTTAGCATATCTTCCTTTCTCTATTGGGAATCAGTGTGGATGCTTTATATATTTTGTTTTTTGATGGTAATATTTTATTTTTCAGAGTTTCTTGTAATGTTAAAATTGTATAGTTTTAATTGAAAAAATTGTGCCTTTTTACTTGATTAATAAAAACATTCTCACCACATTTTATAATCACTTTTTTTTTTCAGTGTTAACACGATCAGCTTCATTTTTTATTTCCAAATGCTAAGTAATTTAAAAAGGCTTGGCCACCTAATTAGCAAGTCCAGGGGTAGAGGCTGACGCTGAAAGAGTGGTCGATAGATAAGCTAAGTCCTTTCCTTGTGTGTGCCCTTTTTCTTTTTTTTTTTTTGTTCATTACAAATTTGTCACTTTTGTTTAATGTAATATTATTAGCTACTTCAACTTCAAACTTGTGTTGCACCTCCAATATTTAATTCTGAGTGTCAATCTCACTTCTCGTGCCATCTTTTCAACTCTAATTAGATGTTTTATATGAATTTATAGTTCAACATATGTTTATGGAAAAGTTTTTATTTAAAACTAGTTAATAGTTATGGCTAAATAAACTTTTAAAGGTATGTTTATTTAAAGGTATATTTGGTATGATCGTTAAAATTCAATAAATAAAAAACAGTAGGTAACAAATAATGATAATAAATAATGAGTGATAATTAGTAAATATTAAAAACAAAGTGATAGATAACAAAAAGTGAGTGATAAATAACGAAAAGTGAATAATAAATAGTAAATAATGAATTCGATCGATATAGTTATTTAATTGTATAAGAATTAGTAGTTGTTATTTAATATTAAATTATTAATAATAACATATTTAAAAATAATTAAGTGTATTTTTTATGTTTTTATTATTAAAATTATTAATTTTATAAAA